CCTGCTGGGCGAAGAGTCTGCAACTGTGCACTTAGCTTCTCTACGGCACAACAGAGTGCGCTAACTTGCACCTCGAGCTGCGTCACGACCCGCACTTCGTCCTTTGACGGTTCCACATTCTGCTTCTCATTTGCATCATTTGCCTGTGCTACACTTGCACCCGTTGGCAAATACGACTCCACTATTGGCGTTAGCACTTCTGCATGTACTTCTTGCAGTCTGCTAATCGATTCGGCTTTCGTGCCACTCGTTTTAAATTTAAGTTTTTGCAATACTTCTTTTAATTCCGCGACTGTTAAATGATTTAGGTCCATGACCACTTCTGAAATCTGTCGCTACAGACAGATTCAGGACAACCAGCTTTATTCAGTTCAAATTAACGACTGCCTCATTTTATATTTACATAAAATGAATTCACATACAAAAACCAACAAGATGAGTATTTCAGTATACCGACAGTAAGAATGAACGTTATGAAATTAGAATGAATACAAAATAATGAATGAAAGACAAATATTATAAAATGAATAAATAGAGATGCCAATGAATATGTAATTAGCGATGACATTTGTAACAGTAATGGCAATGCTAATTATAAGTAATGGTATTGGGATTGGCAATGGTAATGATAATGATAATGCTTATGCTAATGATAATGTGAACGGTAGCATATATCGTCCTGCGCCAGGTTGAAAGGGTATCGTTGATCTATTTTACCTGGATCTGCTATCAATCCTCAAAAACTTCATTACACCTTTACAAAAATTGAGGAAAATGTAGCAATAAAATATAAAACTTATGTTATTTACACCCTTAACTCGAAGCGCCATTCAACAAAACTCACCGAAGCATAACCCATCAAACTTTTCTATCAAAGAACTTAAAAATTGTATTCTCATGTAAGTTATTCAAATTGATTTGCGAGAAAAGTTTGTCGAAATGCAAATAAGATGTGTGCATTTAATTACGAATACATGTAAGAAAGCGTGAAAATGTATGCTTCTGCGCAGGTAAAATGTTGAACTTTGCTGGTGACATAAGTTTTGCACTGCAGATATCGCTTGCGAAGAGCCAGGCTCCTCCACTCGAAACCGTCGTTGTCTTTATAATTTCTTTCTTGCCCAATTGACAAATTAAAAGTAAAAGAGATGTGTTTTAGTGCAGCGACAAAATGGCAGGAAGGTAAACATCTATATGTTTATGTATTAGGATGCCTCGTCAAAAAAGTTGTTGCGGTGTTTTGCACCGGAATTTTAAATTTTATTATATGTATATCTAATCTAAGATTTCTGCTAAAATATTTTGCAAAATTTTTAAGATTAACGTGGGCTGTATGGATTTGAAAACACCTGCAAATATCGAGTTTTTTTATACATATATGAAATTAGCTTTTAACATTTCTTTTTTCCAAAACCTACATCAGATGATAAAAGAGTTTAAGCTCAAAAGGTCTGCAAAAATGTTTAAAAAGTTTATCAACGGAGTGAAAATTATAAGATTTTTGATGCTATATTTTTTTCGAAATATTTTGGTGGAAGTCTTAAAATATAATAACTTTTATAAATCCGATGAAACCCCGTTACCGTTACATTTTTTTTTTGTGGAGAGCGATGCACCCTAATATATACATATATACACATATATAATGGTATGCATGTATGAAAAGAGATTTGTACATCTTCTTCTTCCTCTATAATTCTTGCACCATGCTCACCTGTAGCAAGAGTCTTTTATGGCTTTGTAAGTATGTGTATGTATACCGCTGCATAATAAGCATTTATATTTGTATGTAGGTACGTACCTATGAATGTGTTCGTAAATAGATTATTTATGCAATAATGTAGTCAAAAAATAGTTTTCTAATTAAACTTTATCCTTTCTGCCTTAATTTACCGGTTTCATGGCTTGTCGCCTCTTTAACCGCAATAATATCGCAAACCAAATGTCTAAATGAGTTTTCGACTTCACTCAACTCGATTTCGCCTCACTTCACTGCACAAA